AAAAAAAAAAAAAAAAAAAAAAAAAAAATCTTTTATTAAAAAAAAAAATACAAAGAAAAAAAAAAATTACATAGAAAACGTTTTAGACTTGGCGACGACACCAACACACAGTATATTATATTAAAATAGTAACGCAAGTGCTCTCAATGTCTTCCTTTTTTCAACATTAATACATGATTACATGAAAGGACTTTTCTTCCTTTTTTCGAATGGCATTAAAACGGAAATATTGAGTGAATTAAATAAATAAAACAAAAAAAACAAAAAAAAAACAAAAAATAATGAAATTGAAATTGATTTAAAAAGAAAAACATTACTAATAATAACAATAATAACAATAATAATAAGAATAATTATGAATGAAAAAATGTTTTGCATAAGAATTAGCTGAAAAATGAAAATTCTACAGAAATGAAAAAAGAAATGAGAAAAAGATAGAAAAAAAAAAAAAGAAGAAAAATGAAAGTACGACAGAGAGATGAAGTAATCGTCATATGAAAATAGCATGTAAAGCATGATGATGATGTATATTGAAAAGTAGTTGAATGAACTAAAAGTTACGAAAAAAGAAAAAAAAAAAAAAATTTATTAAATAATAAGTTCGTGGCATTTATAAAAGAAATTCAAAGAAACGGAGCTTAACTTGAAAGAAAGACATAATAATAATAATAATAATAATAATAATAAGAGCCATCTATAGCATCTAAGCCAAAAAAAAAGAGTGTAACTAAAATTAAACTAAACAAACAAACAAACGGTTAATCTCCCATGAATCGCAATTCAAAATCAAGAATTATTTAATATTACGATTAAAAAAGGAAAAGATATTTAATCAAAAAGAAAAAAAGCAGAAAAAGAAAAGTTCATCCTTCCAGACAAGAGAGAAAAATGGTAAATAACTGCGCCTGGGGGAAATATTCTTATAAAAGCCTTTACTTATTTTTAATTGAATTTTAATTATAATCATAAATAAGAAAGCAATTCAATTTTGTTTGTTCCTTTGTCATTTGTTTATGTCCAAGTGAGTGGGTTTATATGTTTATTTGTGGACGAGTGCATATGGGTGTATGTATATTCAGCATGCAAGTGTGAGTGTTCTTCGATAGTAAATTAATTCTAAATTTTTTTTTTTTTTTGCTTTATACAATTTGTTGTTGAATAACGACGACCTAGAATGAAAGAGAAAATTAATTGGCAGAAAAGCCAAGCGCCGCAATAAACACAAAAGGATCTACAATTGCATTTCCTCAATGAGATGGCAATTGTTGAGAATTTAACAACAACAATAAAACAAAAGGATAACTGCTTTCTTTTGGTCTCTTAATACTCTGTTTAGACAAACGAACAAACCACAATAACAATAACAACAACAACAACAACAACAACAGCAACGACAATTATAACAACAAAAAAGTACTAACAGGAAAACATTTGTATTCGCAAATTCAATGTGTTTTTCTCGGTCTCGTTTTTTTTTTTTGTTTAATGAGAAAAGCCCAAGAAACGGAAGAATTGTAGAAATATATGCCTACACGTAGATATATATATATATATATATGTATACATGCTTGTAAGTATCTATGTTTGTTTATATGTCCGTTGAGGTGTATATCGGGAAATATGATGTAAGAGCAGTCTTCTTCTTCTTCTTCTCCGTCTCCTCTTCTTCTTAAACTATTTCTTTTTTTTCTTTTTTCTTCTTCTTCTTTTTCTATTGCAAATGTTCAAGCGACAAGAGGGGAATCACGTTAGAAATGACCATAAATGTCGTCATGGTTAATGTTATCCAGTCATGTGCAGTGATGTATCTTCCTTGAAGTGTTCGGCACCTAACCATTTATTAGTGCCTTTTTTTTCTTCTTTCACCCATCAAGTAACTCTCTTACTCTCTTTTATTATAATACAAGTATTTGAATACTTGTGTGTGTCCATTGCGTTGTCTTCTACATACACACACACATTCCAAATTTAGTTCTGTTTCTACTAATCATTATTACAACAGTACGGTACATGTGTACAAAATGTAACAATAACAACAACAAGTCGACTTTACAAAATATACGCACAGAAAAACAAACTGAAAATTGTAAATCGATAAAATGAGCGAATTAGCGACCGACATATTGACGAGTTCACTGTCTATGGCCGAGTAGCCCACTCACTCTTCATCATCATCATCATCATCGTCGTCATCATCATCATCATCGTCATCATCATCATCATCAATAAAACACAACAACAACGACGTTGTCTACATCATATGTTTCCCTTAAGCACCCCCTTTCGAACGGCATCCCTTGTCTTTTCCACCTTTTCTTCCCGACTTCTCTTAACTTCCCTTAACTAATAGGGTGGCTCGCTGCTGACTTACATCAATTTATTGTATGTGTACAAAATATATGTATGTATATGTATATATATATATATTATGTGTGTACGTGTATGCATTTGCGTTGTTCTCTTCTTTCATATTGTACTTTATCAATAGATTCCGTTTGTATAGCACAGAGAGTGTTTATTATTATTTTCCCACTTAACATAGATGCCGCATATCGCCCTAATATTATTATTATCAAGTCGTTCATATATCAGTCTCTGTCGTTATTTTATTGTATTTGAATTTATATATTGTGTATCAATAATTTGTCAAATCAAGTATTCATCGTCAAACTTGACTTAACTTGATGCCGATTTAGCTGCCAAATCATTGGTCACTGCACTGTATTGTGCTTGATATTCTGCTGAAGATTTCTATGCATTTTTTTTTTTAAATTTTATTTTAATATAACGCTTGTTATGCGGTTTTAAGAAACTGACAACGAATACACATGTACCCGCACAAAATGCCTACAAGTAATTCATTAGCATTGAAGACATTTGTTGTCTTAAATATCAAATTACTTTGTTGTTTGTTTTACTATAGATTGCGGTGGTATTTCCTTCTGCCTTCTGTCTTCTATCTTCTGTCTTTTCTCTTCGCTCTTGTTTCTTCTCTTTTCCCTCATAACTTTTTGTTTTTTCTTGTTTGCTTTGCAATCACTTCACTCAACAACAGACTTGCGACATATTTAGAAGAAACAAAGTCAATAATCTTTGGTTGAACCCGGTTGTTTGCCACAGAGCGAGTTGAAAACTTATAAAAAAATAAAATAATGAATGCCCTTCGCACCATCAATGCGTTCAAGTAAGCAATACAGCAAGTATCAACCAGTCCAGTGAAAATATTTTAATATAAGCTTAAGACGAAGCATTAATGAATCGCTGGAAATTCGATTCTTGGTCAACAAGGACGATAGAAAGTTACGATCAATTTGATAAAAAGAATAATAATGAAAACTTACTCTTACAGTTCCGGCAATTAATTAACCACATGGGCCACTATTAAGGCAATCACGAAGATTTGAATAGATTTAAAGTCGACAGGATCGATCTGAAAATACAATCAATCGAAAGAACTAATGTTAGCAGGGTATCAATAAGTTACACTTGTTATGGAATTTTCTCAAGACAGAAATGCAATGATGAAGATTAGAATCATAGTCAACAGGATCAGCCTGAAGATACAATTAATCGGAAAAACTAACGTTACCAAGCTATCAATAAGTTGCAGTTCCGACAAGTAGTTAATAAGAAAACCTACGTCGATCTACGTCGAGTGACACAGAGCGGGAGAGTTATGAGTAATGCCATAAAGTGCACTGTGTGCAGACTTGTCAGCGTCATGAGTCACACCCTGAAAATATTCTTCAAGATAATACACGAGAGATTTTATAAAAAATGTGCAAAAATCACTGGGTGAACCCTAATGTGAAGGAATGGGAACACGTGAAGACTTATTCTGGATTATCATTATTTTGGGTCACAACTGCCGAGATGTCCGAAAGGACATTTTCATGTGTTTCATCGACTATGAAAAACCACTCGACACAGTCCAGCACGATGAATTAAATACCCTTCTTAAGTCCAGAGATATAGACGACAAGAAATGCATAAAAAATATTGACATCCAACGAGCCGAACTTGACAACACGGTAACAGAACAAATAAATATACGTAAAGGAGTCAAACAAGAATGCGTCGATTCAATTTTATTGCTCAATATGTAGACCCAGGGTATATAGGGAGGAGGGGATGATATTCTTTAATCGATGGTGCATGCATTAAACTCCTGCAGCAATACATACGGAATTAAAAAAAACGTTAAGAAAACCAAAGACATGACCGTTAGCAGAAAAACACGTTTAACAATACAACCACAACAAGTCCAGGATATGCTAATAGAATGTGTATTAAAATTTGAATATATCGCGGTTACTGGATTAACGAAAAATAGGCGTCTCTCCGCCGAATAGATGCACCGAGATCTACATTTTATAAATATAACAAAGTTCTCACACAAACCGTTAAGTCCGTATGAACGTTAAAGTTCGCTTCGTAAACTCTTTAGGTTTGATCTGTTTTGCTCCACGCTATGGGGAGAGAGACGTCGGAGATGGTTCACATGAAATGTAAGTTGATCGTAGATCGCTAAAAATACCCTTGTTACGAACGAGTAATAAACACGAAAGTAATTCAAAAAATCGGTCAAGATCATGAACTAAAAAACCCACATGGGTCACCTAATGGGAGATCAAAAATATTATATGCTGCAGTTCATGCTACCAACAAGCCGTGATATGTAGAGGAAATAAGCATCTTGGCATCGCAATATAGGTCAATAGATGGGCATAAGCAGTGTATAGCATGTTTTCTGAAATTGTTACAAACCTTCTTACAAAAAGGATAACTTAACATACTTGTAGATAATCTTGATAGATAATGACTATGAACGTTTAAAAAGATATCGTGCATATCATTTTAAACTTTCATGGAATAACTAATTCTATATATCAAAATATCGGACGTACAGATCAAGAGATGTTTAATGCGTAATTTTAAGGGATTTTCAATAAAAGTCTTAACTAATGCGAAATTGTACTGGACAATGTTGTAATTTCGCCACTTTCAACCATTTAAACCATAATACATACAAACATTCTAAAGCAATTTCCACCATAAAATCTTAAACGTTTTGTAACGCCTTCACTTATTTGTTGTGGGAACGAATGGATTCAAGAGACGGTCTGGTCTCATCACATCTACAAATTTCCAAATTTATTTAGTAAATTAAAATAGTATTTGTCACCGATTTTTGTCGAGAAATATGAAAAATTCCGAAAGGCAGTCATTGTGTGGGAAGCGGTAGAGATAAAAGGAGTTCGAACTAAATCATTCTTAATAGGGATTATCCACTAATGAAAACACTCCGAACTCAATCAATTGCGACCAAGAAAACGTGAACAAATATCAAGCGGACAGACGGATAGACGGATTGTTATGCTTTATCCGGTTCAGAAAATTATTTAAAATTGATTGGTAATAAATAAGGCGGTGGGTCTACCTCAACCTTTCCTAGGCATAATAAAGGCGTTCGGAGAACGTCGTAGGTACAGCTTACCTTTGGTTGGCTTTCGTATAAAAGGAAAATATCTATTTATCTTGAACTAAGGAAAGGCAAACATCTATTTATCTTGAATTAAGGAAAGGCAAATGTCTTTATAGAATTTTCATCGCAGTTATATTATATATTATTATGACGATACGTTATGGTGCCATAAGTTATTTATATGATTTTCTTATCATAAATAAAACGTTCTTCATGAAGAGCGGTTTCATTCAATTTAAGAGAGTTATATTTAGTAAAAAAAAAAAAAAAACTTTCACACCTTTGCATTACTGTTACGTTATTAAGTCTTTGCATTATTCTTGACGATGCGAGGCAAGCCAATCCGTATAAGCTTTTAAGTAAACGCGATTTTGGCGCCAAAACGACGGCTAAGCTCTACGAGACTTATTTGCTTGCATCTATGCTCTTATTTATTGTTTATATCATATTTGAGATTTTTGCAAGCAGCGGTTTTGTTAATCATACGTGCATAACGATTTCAATGCAGTTAATGCAATATGCATACCTAGTAGTTATGGTACACAGTGCCGTTAATCAAGGTAATCAGAAATGCTTAAGTGTTTTCTCTTTTCAGGCTTTTCGACGAAGAACCAGACGAACTCGTATGTGGAATATGGGAATAATTTTTCTCATTTATTACACAATTACCATATATTCCGTTAAGAGCAACGACGCGACAGAGAGATCATTGGATGCTGACGAGATTCCCATTACTGATGAAAATAACGAACCCGTTACAGATCTAAATGACTTTACGGATCAAGTAAGTGTTAACGATTTTTTTTTTCAATTTTAAATCAATTCAAAAATTGTTGGCTGGTTTTCAAGAGCAACTTTGAGACGACACTCGCTACCTATACGCTGGAGAAAGAAGCCGTACCAACTTGGCGACCGAAACGTGAAAACTGCACACCGCCTGCCATCGAACAATTCCCGAGACCTTTGATGAGCAAATGGCTACGAACACACGGTGGCCTTGTAATACATATTATTGTCGCCGTCTTCACCTTTTTCGGTCTGGCTATAGTCTGTGATGAATACTTCGTCGCTAGTTTGGATCGACTATGCGAAGGTATATGTAGATCCTTTCTACCATTAACGTAATAATTCATTTGCGATCCTTATGAACAGAATTGAAATTATCTCCGGATGTGGCTGGTGCTACTTTCATGGCGGCCGGCAGTTCGGCTCCGGAATTGGCCACAGTCGTTATTGGGGTCTTCTTTGCCAAAGATGATATCGGCATTAGCGGCGTAATTGGTTCGGCAGTCTTTAACATTATGTTTGTGATATCGGTTTGTGCTCTTTGTTCTGGTACCGTCTGCCAATTGAATTGGTGGCCTTTGGTTCGCGACTGCTTTTTCTATTGTATCTCTATACTGGTGATGTTAATCATAATTTTCAATGACGTGATATCATGCGTAAGTGAATTTAAAGTATTTCCCTCTGTCGTATTTGTGTAAACAATGCTAACAATTTCAGTTTGAATCTGTCGTAATGTTACTATGCTATGTCGGCTATTGTGTCGCATTGTATTTCAACTCTGCTCTCGAACGTTGGGCTTTATCTCTAAATCTTCCCTTTAAACTTCCGACAAAAGAGGAGCAATCCTCTTTGGTTACCTATAAGAATGTAACTGACAATACTTATACGCAAGGCACTCAGCAGCAGACTAATTTGTCACAAGAGCCAGACGCCACTACCGCACCGCAAGAAACTCAGCAGCAACAACAATCGAACAGTGAATATCAAAATTATACCGACCCGAATGCTAGTTGGGATCCTAACGCTGCCTGGGGCGACGTACCTGCCAATCCAGTAGGTGTCAGTGCTGGTAGCACTCAACCACCGGCCGATGATTGGGGCATGAATCAATTTAATGCGGGCCAAGGCCAAGAGAATATGGCTTATAATCCAGATCAACCGGAAAGTTCGGCCACAAAAAGTGCCTCTACCGACAACACGAAACCTGTGGTGGGTACACCGCAACCGGCCGGTAGCGATTATTACAAATCAACTGAACGTTCGAAAGAAGCTCGCCCCAATCCTTTAGAACGTCCCACAGAAGGTGGACCTTTAGCACTGATCTCCTGGCACGTGGTCTATCCAATACATTTTTTGTGTCAGAAAACGATGCCCGATTGTCGTACTGAGAAATATCGTAATTGGTATCCGTTTACGTTCATGATCTCAATGATTTGGATTTCATTTTATTCGTATTTTATGGTTTGGATGATAACCGTAATCGGGTCAACTCTGGCCATACCCGATACAGTAATGGGTTTAACGTTTGTTGCTGCTGGTGTTTCGGTACCCGATGCCCTAAGCTCAATAGCGGTTATCAAAGAGGGATTTGGCGACATGGCTGTTTCAAATGCAATCGGCTCGAATGTCTTTGATATCCTAGTGTGCTTAGGTCTTCCGTGGTTCATACAAACAGCCATCATTAAACCCGGCTCTCATGTTAATGTTATTTCGAAAGGTAAGTAACTTAAAACCGTTTCATAAATCTACACATTTACACATATCTGAAGCCAACAACGATTATATCGACTGGAAGGAGAATGATTTGAAGTTTGTATTTACATTTAATAATCTCAGGTAAAAATTCCTATAAGCTAATCTTATGTAGAAGACGCACATCACGTATAGTGTAGATTTTTTCATTTTCAAAATTAAAGCACATAAGCTTTTGAAAATATCAAGATTTTGCACTTTAATTTTCATTTTGAAACTTGGCCCAAAATGATTCGATCGAGTTATATGTACTTTTATTAGAGAATTATGAACTTTTTAAAAATGTTCATTTTTTTTTTTTGTTTTATGTATATTATGGCACAATCTGTTTTGTTGGCCGACAAAAGCTAGCTTAAGCACGCAAAACACGGAACTTATTAAAGTTACAAAGTAGCAGATAGGGGACAATTGTTAATCGCAAAAGAATTTTTGAACTCCCTGTACCCTCATAATTTATTATGAATCACATAAGAATCAAGTGTTCGCCGCTTTTATCACTTACTCTTCGGCACGCGAAACGTAACAGTGTAACAGTTAGAATGAGTATTCGAGGGATATGTACGAAGACAACAACATGTGATTAATTGAACATGGATTGGCTGTACCAAATTTATGGGGAGCGAGGCAGGGACTTAGAATAGAGAAACAGAGATTTGCTAGTTTTTGATTGAGCCTCACTAAGCTGATGCCTTTTCTTACCGTAAAAGCCTTTATAGCATCATTATCCCATTGGAGAGCTTCTCTAACGTAACTAACCCTTAACACTTAAGATGGAAGGATTGACAATGCATGGATGGTTTAAATTTGATTGTAATACGTGTTCATCTCCAAAGATTACGTTTACGATTAGGGTGTATTTGGGAACACATTGCCCATCTTATTTTTGCGAAACAATGTAGAACAATAACAGTTTCATCTCCAAGACAAAACAAAAGCATGAGAAGAATTAGCCGTATACTGGTGGCCATGAAGTTCCCAGTGGTCATAATGAAGTATGTGAGAGATTCGGTATTGACCGAATTAAAAATGCCAAGAATACTGATAGATATACATATAAGGGAATAGTAACACAGTTCGTGGATTTGTGGTTTGCCTCTAATGTGGATAAGATATCGTTCTGAGGGGAGCGCAGCTAAGTAATAGATGACATCGTAATTGTGACAGAGTTTGAATTTGCTTCAGTAAGAAAGACATTCAGTTTGGCAAGTTCGACTGTCTTGTAGTTGCAATTGCAAGATCTCTCCAACTAAAGGTCTCTGTCGTACTGGTGCAGCAAAACCGGCCACGCAAGAGAGAGTTAGTTGCCTTATTATTAATAAATTTGCTTGTGATGGCAATAGATCTACAAACGCTCACTCACGACCTGAAAACTAATTTGCATGCGAGTTAGACGATATCTGCTTAACCAAAATGATCAGACTACGCTGACTTAAAGATCGGCAACTAGTGACTAAAATTGAAAACGAAAATAGACGACCGCTTAACAAGAGCACATGCATTTTTGAATAGCTTCACTTTATTTGGTTGGAGAATGGAAATTTTGCTCCTCTTTTCTATCACATATAGCTGTTGCCCACGTATAACTATAGGGCGTTACGACTTCGAATTCGATTTCGACTTTTACGACAATCACTTGAAATTTTCGTTTTAGACAATGTGAACTAATCGTGGCCTTTATCACCTTTTTAATGTTTCGGTATTCGAATTAAATTTGTTCTTACTTTTTAATGTTCATTTTGTTTGTTGTTTCTTCTAATCAATTCATTGAAGGTTTGGCTTATTCAACACTATCACTCTTCTCTACGGTATTATTTTTAATAATATCCACTCACTTGAATGGCTGGAAATTGGATCGACGATTAGGTATTATACTGATGATATGGTATTTGCTTTTCATAACTCTAGCATCACTTTATGAAATGAATGTATTTGGTTTCATGAATCCACCCGAGTGTCCAAGTAAGATATATATATATATATATTCAATATTCTTATGTATAACGAAAAATTACAATTTTTTCATTATCATCTTAGGTGACTATTAAGTATTAAGAAATGTTTCTAAATATCTGCCTACATACATGTTTCCCACAAACTTTGGAATCTTGAAATGGAATTCATTTTCCTTTAATGAAAAATCGTACGTTGCAAAATATATGTGAAATTGTTTACAATCAAGAAATGTTCGTTACACTATTAATTCAGAGCCAATGCATTCAAAAAATATAAGGAAATTTTAAAACTAAAAAAATAAAAAAAAAATAATAATAATAATAATAATAATTCATTAAAAAAATCCATTGTATACATAATCATCTAGAAAAAGGATTTACGAGCGAAGACAGCACATGCGTTATATTAAAGAGAATCGTTAAATAAAACACACAATTAATGGAAAAATATATTCGTAAACTGGTATTATATACAGATATATATATATATATATACATACATTGATATATATTGATATATAAATATATTTTCAAAAAAGGACTTGAAAATCATAAACCATAGATAAAAACTAAAATCACATCATATATATATATATATATATATATATATATATGCATATAAAAAATATATTTTACATTTTTACAACGCACCGGAAAAGAAAAAATTCAACTAAAATTTAATTAACAAAAAACACACTAACAAACATAATTATATAATAGTTTTGGGAAAAAGAAGATACGATCAAAACTAGTGAGTAACAAATAATACTTGTGTCGTAGTTAGGAATCGATTATTTTTATTTAATCAAAAAAAAAAAAAAATTTTTTTTTTTTTTTTTTCATTTCAAAATTTCAAGCAATAGAAGTAAAATATGGTTTCTATTAAAAAGGCCTCTGATAATTGCGAGAAACGATTAACAAACAAAGCAACGAATTTTCAAAACCAAAGCGTTTTTTTTTTTTTATACCTGATGATGTACGTTATAGAAGAAAGAGTTATTTAAAAAAATATTTATTTTTAATTTCATTATTTATTAGATTTTGTAAATGTTGGCTTCACTATGTCCAATTTTGAAGTCACGCGTAGATCGGGAGTTTTCTCTGAATGTATTTCGTAATCATTTCAAGGGCATTTCTAATCTAGTCCACTTTCGCTTCCTTTCAATGAGTATTAAAATTATGTAAATTAATGAACAGAAAGAAACAGTCAAAGAAGCAAAGAAAGCTATTTTCGACCTTTTTTTCTTGGGAGAATCTTTCATCTCCACAAGCTAAGGTGAATACGGGAAGTTTGTTAGGTAGATATTTAAAAGAATTTTGATTTTATTTACACTATAAGAGCACACACACACTTAAGCACATTAGTGACTTATGGTCGGCAATTTTGGCGACTGCTTTTGCTATCTGCGAGACTGTGGCTGTCGAGTTTAAAATTTTTAAACGGAGCAGCAAGTCCATTGAACATAAATCCTTCAACCAAACAATTAGAAGGGTCTCCTAGATTCGATCAAGTTCGTTTCTAATACCCAGACATACACATCAGGGACTTCATGTAGTGTATTCTTATTAGGCAAAAGACGTCATGTCCGTCTCTGCATCGCATAGAGCTGACGCTTAGCATTTTCATTCTAAATTGATGGTATCAAGAAGCTACCCTAGCTCTACTATACTTATAGTAGACAAAAAAAGTGATAATGAACAATCCTTAGACCATATTTAATACCTACATTTATGAATATAACCATTTATTACTGCCATTAAATGGGAGTGGGATTCGCTCAAAACAGGCAAACACGTCAAACTTGCAGTTCACTCGGGATATTTAGTTATAAACCGAACTAAATATATGTTAGAGTCAGTGTAAAATGCAAATCAATTAACCATTTGCCGACACACTCACGTGGTCGTCCCACAGCTCACGCTCACAGTGGACGAACAACAGCAAATTATAATTTACAATGGAAATTGAACTACAATTGGGCATAAATAATTAACAAACGCCCTTCAAAGGTAGGGTGAATTTTTTGTGTTATTCTCCTCAAAACGTTTTTAACATCCAGAAGTTAGCTGCAGCGGTCCTATTAAATATATATGTACACTTTATCAGTATCAAAGTGAACATGTCTGCCCGTCTGTCCCTTTAATTAATGTCTGTGATAAACATTTTCCCGTTCGCAAAACATTTTGCCAAACCCTTGGCAGGCAAGACATCATTTGCGAGCACTTCTTTTCTCATTGCTTTTTTCAAAAACAAAAATATTGAGACTTTCTCGTTAGAAAAAATCGGCCATGCTCTTCGAATAATATGTCGAAATTTTTCATTTTTCATTTTTTTTCGTTTTTTTATGAAATACGAAGGGGGGGACATAAACCTTCTTTGATTGCTTTGCTTTTTGTTTTTCTGTTAAACAAACTATTAAGAAATTTTTTAAATATATCAACAATTTGTTTACGCAAATTGATTGATCTTTCGTAAATGAATTCGCGAAAATTACCAATAATTTTATTCTCAGAGAGAGTAACATAGCTTCTTAATGTGATAAATGTTTTCAAAATTCGGTAAATCGTGCAACTCTAAGTTTATTTGCTCTTTGCCATTTCATTGATATTAAGCTCTCTCTCTCTCTCTCTCTCTCTCTCTCTCTCTATCTCTCTATCTCTCTAAAGTTATTAAAAGATTTTAGAGAAAATTCTTCACCAGAGTTCTCAATGCCTTAGAGTTGGAATTATTCGTTAGCTTACTATTCCACTACACATTTTTTTCAAAAAAAAAGTACTGAAAAATAAATAATATTTTATTTGTTTTATATATATATATATATATTTATTTTTATATTTTGAAGATTCATAGGTAAGATGTGAGTGAATCTTGTTAAAAGCAAATTAAATATTTTTTTTATACTCAACACCGAAAGATAGAATTATGACCCGACATACATTACATTGACTCTATCCGGTATACATGTAACGGTAACCAACAATAAATTGGATCTCAATTCAACTAAAGCTAACTCATTTTGGAACATTCCTAATTTTATTCAAGTTCCGACAAGTCAAAGAGAAAGCATTAATTGCCTTGGAATCAAGAAACAAACGTTACACTGCTTTCCCACATCCACTATTAGGTGCGGAACAGGCGGTATATGGCACACATTAAATATTCCTTAAAGTTTACATATTCTTGGTCCGAATAAAATTTTGTTGGTCCGTTTGTCCTTTACACATCAAATCACGCAAATATTCCTCTCGGCCAGAGTAAGGTTGTGTATCAGCAGGACTATTTGTCGGTCCGTCTGTCCTCTACCAATGAAATCATACAAATATACTCTTAAGTTTACCTATTCCCGGTCACAGTAAGATAGTGTTTCAACATAGCCTGTCTGTCCGTTTGCCCTTTGCACATTAAATCACACAAATATTCCCTTCAGGTTATATAGTTTTAGCTAGTGTCCGACTGTCTGGCATTTTGCTTCAAATATGTGCCCATTCAATTTAAGTAACTACCCTAGCAATATGGCCACATGGATCATATATGGCAAGCTTTCACGTATAGTTTCATCAGCAACTATTTTAAATTTCCTAACCCACGAAAGGATCATTTTCCCTTTGGCTGTTAAATGGATACCTTAGGATTCCTGTGATTGGTAAAAGATGGTTTTTTATACTTGCCGTTACGTTATGAAAATATTAAGTTAAAAGTGTTTAAAGTCAATTGTTCTCAATTTATGATAATATAAAATGAAGTCAAATTAATTGAAATTAAAAAAAAAAAAAACATTTATAAAAATTCATCTAAAAACAACAAAATAAATTAAAATTATGCTACTAATGCAATAAATGTGAAAAAAAAATTAATCTTTTATTTAATTAATTTTTTTAATTAATTAGATAAAACAAAATTAATAAAATTAAAAATTTCAGTCAATTTTTATTAACAATTTCGTCATTTTACCCATTAATACGGCTTTCAAATTTTTACATTTTTATCAATATTTAAAAAAAGCAAAGTTATTATTAAATTAATGAAAAAAACAAAAAAAAAAAAATAAGAAAAAAAAATGCAATTTTTACTTCAATAAGAAATTTTTAAACAAATTAGTGGTAGTTAATAATTTTTATTTGTTGTTAGTTAAACTAAATTTCGTTCATTCACAATTAAGAAAATGTAAAATCCAAGCATTGAATGTTTGATATTTTTTTTGTATTATATGTTAAAATATTGTGTGTAATTAAAATACTTCCTATCTTTATGTAATTCCTTTCCTAAATATCTAAATATACCAAAAGAAAATATATAAAGAGCTTTTGTTTCCACTAAAAATCAGGTCATTCTACAAAAGCAAAAAATAAAAAGAATGTAAAGAAAGTCAATCTGCAATTAGCCAACGGCTCTAACGGTTCTAATGTTGTATTATTCAAATAACTTGAAATTGTTAAATATCCATAGTTTTTATATCTTGTTATCTAACTTTATGTTGTGTTAATAAAATTTATATGTAATCTAAGATCACTTTATAACCCATATAGCCTATAGCGTATACATTATATATACAGCACGTAGAGATATATATGTATTGGTTTGTTTCGAAAGGTTTGCAGCTTTCTCTGTTCTGAAAAAGTTTTTTGCTCTATACATATATTTCTCATTCTCTACTTCGATGCCGCAAACTGTCCATCCAAACTGTCCACTGCAAGAAATCACAAAGAGAAGAAACTTGTGGAATTGTTTTTGTTGCTAGCGGTCATCAAGAATACATAGGAAGGAAAGCAATTCTCTTAATTTAGCCATTAGACGGACACTTTGACGACATCTATAGTATAGCTAGGACTTATCGATTTTTCAATTCATTGTGTCAGTGGGGGCGTACAAAGAGGTCTCTCTCGACTTTTTCTCTCTACTCCAGGATTTTTTAGTGCACCAAACCCCCTTCCTACTAAGCTTTCTCAGCTAGCATTTAGACTTAAGGAGATTTTGTTCGATCATCTTACATATGCCAATACGTCAGCTTTCCCCAATACCAAATGTATTCGCAGACTAGTTTCCACAGGACTGCTACTAATAATTTTTGTCGCATAGAATAAAATATTTCAGTTATATTTTTTAAGAATCACCTTTTACAAAATTTTCTCGCATGCGATCGGGTATTATTATGTAGTAGAATCACTTGATATTTTCAATAGTTTTTACTAAAATTGTGTGAATTTTTCTCCGCTTTTTCCCATTTTTTTCAACACCAGTTCCAGAGCATCAGATGTTTCCAGTGCTAAAGAGATTTTAAAGGACACTCTCTTTCACCGGCTGCAATAAAGCAATGTTCTTTTAGAGTTTAACTTGCTCTTTTCCGTGAGAACATCCCAATTGGCATTCGTCGTCAATTCGTCAAGGATGAATATCCTTGTTACATAATTTCCCACATCACTTAAACTTGAGATTTGAAAGCAAACATATATTTTTATTGCTCTAGTGGCAATCATTTAGGCTAATTATCTATTTTTCTGTTTAGAGCTTTTAAAGTAACCCTTATTGCATTTAATAGGGAACATTATGAAGCTTAAAAGTTTCAGTTTTAAATTTCAGAATCCTCTTTCGGATAATTAATTACTGCACATATACAACAGAATTGCTTTTAAAGGTCGCAGTTAATTAGGCATCAAAGGTATCAATATTTTTAAGACGACTGGATCTCGGTAAAAGTTATAAAATGCACAAATGTGAAAATGGCGGCTATTTACTGTAACACCTTGTTAATAGAAACCGAAAAAAACCTTTTCGAAGCGAAGGAAAATATAAAAGACTTCACCGCGAAGGAAATAAAATGCAAAATATTTGCAGAACTTGGAAGGAAATGAAAAGCTACGAACTTATGAAACAGCCATATATATATATATATATATATATTACATATATAGAAACATAACTGATAACCAAACATTGAGCACAGGAAATAAAGTCATTTATATAAACTTATATACAAGAAGAATATATCGATAATGAAATCACGTTCCATCATATAGTCGGGTAAAGAATGAAGTATAACAACAAATAAATTCTTAATATACTCTAATTCTTCTAAATATAAAAAAAAAAAAAAGAAAAAGAAATGAAAAAGTCAACTTTTACAAAAACAACCCTAACAACAAACCTACCTAAACTACAATAATTTGAAAAGTATACAGAAAAGCATGCTTAAGGATAATAACTTAATTAATATGTTTATGTATTTTTGTTAATAAAAACTAAATAATTTATATTTCTATATGTATACATACATGCATATATTTTGATTATCAATTTTTCCCAAATAAATTCGGAAATTTTTAAATTCTTTAGAAAAAAAACATGTATAAGAAAAAAAAAAAAAAAAAAAAAAAAAAAAAAAAACAACAACTTTGCCTGTATATATAAAATTATTAACTAAAAATAAACTATTTACGGTTCTAATTATTTATCGAATGTGTGCAAGAACCCAATCTCATTAGAAGAAAATAAAAAAAAAAAAAAAAAAACGTTATTTTTTGTTCTCTTGTTTTCTTATTTATAAAAAAAACTATAATTATAATCAGTTAAGCCACAGTGAATGGATCAGTTATAATGAATCAATCA